TCTGTAAGCTCAGCACAGGATGGTATGGGCAAGGCAGAATTCCCAGCTCATTAGGGTAAGGCTGCATTCCCAGTCTATTATAGGGGGAAGAACAGGGGGAGCTGGAGCAGCTGAGCTTGCTTGACCACAAGGTATTGTCATACACCACCAGCTTTTTCTCATTCTATTCTAGACTACAGAAAGGGAGAGAGGGATGAAGACAGGAAATTTGGGGCATCTCATAATCCTAATTCCCCCAAAACATGTTGTCATGGAAAGTGAAATGCTGACAGAGCAATGACTGGTAGAAGGTTGGGAATATGGCATGGAGCTAATGAAGTGCAAGTCTTTGGGTGTGGGGAACCAAAGCCAAAGGGTGCAGTGCATTCTTTAATCCACAGCATTCACCGTGCATATCTAGTTCTACTATTTATATAATTCATTTCAGCTCAGAAGAAAATATTTTCGTTGATGATGTGTTCTTGCTATAATTCACATGACTATATATAACGCTTTGCATTGCAGTGGGTAACACATTAATCCCTCTTACAGGACTGTAGAATGGCATTCCTTGCCAGTGGATCTAGAAACTAAAGCCCTGACCTTCTCCTACATATTATTAAAAGACAAACAAGAATGGTATGCTGGAATTTGAAAGGCCATTGCAAGCAAAGAAGGTTTAGAAATCAATCATACAGGGAAATTGGGAAGTGGGGTTACAGGAGAGATTTGAAGGAAGACAGGAGCATTTCTGACAGGCAGAAGCTGAAGACTCTGCAACAGCAACATCATCTTATATAGGATGTAAAAGCTGTGCTCCGGAAGGCAAGAGGAAAGATAAGAAACTGGGAGAGCCTGAGAGAGTGAAATGTTATGTGGGAGATGAATGAGAGATGAATGTTTATTATTTGGACAGGAAATCTAATATTGATGCAGTAAAAGATAAAAAACTAGCGAATGGATTAAAGGAGGAAAGTAATGTCATCTAGGATTTTGCTTGTAATCTATCAAGTCATCCTCAACTGTGATATCTAGCCTTCCCAGCCTACGACAGCATAGGTGTGTATTCGGGGCACCCCATGTGCTTTGCCTACAGCATTATCATGAATCCAATTCCTCTTATATCCAGAGTTTCTGAGGAAATTAAAACAGGTCCTAGCTTTTACCAGCAATTTCAAAGTAACAGTTTTTCCTTCCTAAAACAAATGACAGCCTGAGACTAAGGAAGGATGCTATTTAGTGACATCTTGCTTATCACCAATGAAATCTTCATATCATGCCACATATTATCTATGTATAAGAGTAGAAAGAAATAGCTATAGAAATTGAATGGAATAAGCATTGGCATGACTGTCACTTCAGGCCTTCAGAAGAAAAAGACAATCTTAAAACAACATACATTTTTTACAAGGCACAGAGCTTAAAATACCTGAGAAGTAAAATAGTGGTGAATCAAAACAAAAAACTTCAAGTCAGCAAAATGCTGGTGTCACATCTGCTAGCTCCATAAGAAAGTGGGGAAAAAAAAGAGAGAGAGAGAAAAAATAAAGCATACGACAAAAATTCCCAAAAGACCCCAAGCCTTTAAGTACCTTTTTTGTGTTAATGACTCCATGAGTTCAAATGTGCTCCTATTCTAATGTTGGATAATTACTGTTATGGTAATCAAAACATCATTTAGTGAATCCAGCATATCATGTTGAAAATAATGTAAAATAATATTGTAAGCAGATAATTTAACTTGACATATAAACACTTGCTCTCATTCACAGAAATGAAAATTTTTCCACAACATGTTTAGTATATAGCACTGCAACCAAATGGAAAAAGTTCAGTTTAGAAGAAAAGTCTACACAAACTCATGCCAAAACATACAAAAAATGTTCCCCCACATCTGTTATTTAATAAAATTTCATGTGTCTATTAGCTGTCATAACTCATCATTCAGAATCTGTACAAACACATGTCAACACGCACACTCCCACCAGAAGTAACAAGGCTTTCCAAGGGCTGATCATGACCAACGCCTGGATCTCCCCCATCATTTTAACACACTGAGTGATCAGCTTCATTATGGGTCAGTTCCTTATCGTATACCTAAAATTTCATCACCTTGTAAGTATTTTTAATATGGCAGTTGAGTAGGTCACACAGGCATACAAGTCAAGCACTCCTGATACATCTCGCCTGGTGGGCAGACTGGCCAGCACCGATGCAGGACAAACATGGCCAGGTCACACTGGTCTTTCTGCTGGATGAGTGAAAACATCCCCTTAAACTGCTGAGAAGTTTTGACAGAAAATCACTTTATGCTTGTCTTGTTTCCCCAAGCCACTGTGAGAGAGGAAATTGTGGGGCAGAAACCACAAGTGTAGTTCACTACTGCTGTTACAGGTTTGGGTATTCACATAAGTGTCTGGTCTGGTATGAAAAGAAAGTTACTCTCTGTATATGAATTGCTCCTCTTGCAATGTGCATAATAATTCCAATATTCCCAAACCCTGAGCAGTTCCTACAAGAAAAGGAAGGAAAAAAGAAAAGGCCTTTCACAAACACATTAGCCCTTACTGTGAAATTGGTCCACTCACTACTGATACTCAAAAATATCAGAGAACGCTAAATAGAAAGAATCAGATGGAAAATAAAATATGTAACAAAGACTGTGAAATGCCAGAACGTTCTTTAAAAGGCCAGAGGAAGAACTGGGAGTGCTGATACCCAGGTTTGGCAAACCTTAAGGAAGAAAAAACGCCTGTTATGAGTACCATGATTGATTTTAACTAAAATAACTCACCTCCTCAAACTTGTCTGGGTCACTGCAGAAAGCGTATCCTTTGGGGGTGTTTGAGTCTGACAATGCTAATTCAAATAGATGACAGCACCTGCATTTGGGAAACATACATCATTACAAGAAAAATCAAGAGGAAAACCAACTGTACAGGCATTTTATATGCATTTTGAAAGATAAAAATTCTCCATCATATAATACAAGGAATACCCTACACTTAATGTGATTAGGATCTGTGTGAGTCAAGGTTTACAGTCTTGTGCCCAAGCCAGCCAAACATTAAAAACCCATGACTACACAGAGAAAAAAAAGATAGCCCTGCAAACTCTATTTTCCTACTGTGAATGGGTGGTGTTGAATCATCCGCTTGGGCCAGATAATGCTTGCACAAGCTGTCAGATAATGAGTTAAGCGCCACAAATGGAAGGCACAAACCTTTGTGGTAAGTTGGGGAAAACACTGGAAATGAATGAAACGGGGGTTTGTTGCCTCCCACACCAATGACACAGAAGCTTGTCTGTTTTGAGGATTCACAACATCTTTGAGTGCAGGGTGCTCTGCCCACAGCACTGGTCACCTGCTGAGAGCTCGCATTGAATTAGGTTACATTATAATTGGATTTTCCGAAGGCACCATATTAGCATTTTCCATGATCTCACCCTTATTAGCCAAATCACTAATCAGGAGTTGCGCGGTTATATTGTTTGCTGGTTCAACTATCTGCTGCTACAGTGTCTGTAAGCCAGCTCCAAATTCATGCAGAGATAAAAACTCCTATCTCTCTAACAGAGACTCGGGAGTTTATTCTGTAGCTAAAGTTGCAGTCAAACTCTAATTTTCAATAGTTCATGAAAAAGCAATTTCTCTGCAGAGGCCGGTTTGCTCAGTGCTTTGCTCATGTTCTTCCTCAGTCTGTATTAGGAGTGTCGTTTCTTTGATCTGTGTAGGCAAAAGTAGCATCATTGTAAAATATAACAGCAGAAAAGTCCTTTCCCATGGACCGTTCCCCATTGTGTCCAAAATCAAATGCTGAACATGTTTAATCCTGCAAGGTTATTATTTTAATGCACAGGCCTTTGTATATTGATGGGAATGGAAATACCTGTTCTAAAAGCAGAAATGACACAGGCAGGCGGTCTCGTAACTGACGAGACTGTCTTTGTACAGCTCAAAAAGCTGTTTGTGTGGGAACTTAAACTCATATTAACTGCCTCTGAGCTATAAGGAAAGCACACAGGACATCTCATGGGGCCTTATGGTGCGAAAATCTCAATTCCTTCTTTCAGGTGGGATCCCAGCAGGTTCACGTACCTGTCTCCCAACAGCTGCCCTCTTAAAAGCCTGAAGGGAAGAGACAATCCTGCAAGTAGATTATCAAGTAATGTTTGCTGAACACCAATTCACCACAATTTTCTGAAAAAAATTCACGGTCTAAATACAATTTCATTTTAAAAGCAAGGATTTATTCTCAGATTAGAGGTTAACACAATGATGTTCAGATTCATTACAAGAATCACTTGGAAATATAAAGCCATTTTCACTTAGAAGTTAAACCCATTAAATATTTCTACTAAAATTCTTCTGATACAAGTAAGTACACACAGAAAAAACTGTGATTACATTTTTCATATAATTCTGGAGCCAAAACAAAAGGAGAGCTGGCCTTGACTCAAAAAGGGGAGTAGGCACCTTCTACCTGGCCTGGCATCAGCGGTACCCTGCTTACAATTAACACAAATTTGTTACAACAGCAAAGCAGATTTCCTTTTTAACAAACAACCAAGAAAAAGAGTACAGAGTTCAAGATGGTATATCAACAAATCATTCCCTGGAATCAAATAAAAAACCCTATAATTCTCAAACAAAAAAAATATCACAACACTACCGGGCTTATAAGCTCTTGAATTCAAACCAGATGTGACTGTCTCTGAATCCCCAGCAATAGCTGCATCTTTTCTCATAAGGCTTTTTAACAGATTCTCATAGGCAGCACAAACAGCATCTTCAGAACAAAGGGCAATAACGCTTCCCAGCAGAGTTTAACTGGATCCTGAGGATCACTAGCCTGTATGATCTGCTTTTCTATTGTCCTTGCGGCTATTTCACCAGGCATAAATAACATGCACTGAAGAGATAAGGAGCTAGGGGAGAAAAAAACCAGAATGAAACAGAATAATGAAGTTGCAAGACTAGCTTGCAGCGTTTGGTCTATGCTTCTCCAGGTTATAGGCTGTCAGCGATGGGCTCCCTTCTCCGAGGATGAATCTGCAAAAGTATTTCAATAAAAATTATTTTGACATTGAGAAATACAACTTACTTATGATTAATTTCCCTCTATTTTGTAACACATACACCACCACCACCCCTGGAGCCAATACTGTACATCATTACAAGCCTGTAATCAATCCAACACAAATGACGGTGTGAAGAAGCAAAAGAGGTTAGGGGTACCATACAGCGCACTAGTAGCCTCTCTCTCTCTCGACTTTCATCTAGTCCTGATTGCAGATACGGAGCAAACAGTAGGGTCTAGTAACTTAAAGCCCCTATGTAAAATCTTTTTAGACCTCTAAAAAGAACAGCTGACATTCAGCAGTGCTCATAGGTATAAATTAGCACTAGGTGCACCCAAGAGAGTTGGTAAGTATGACAGAGGGAAGAATTAGATAGTAGTACCTACAGCTAAGTAGGTGTCTGTGGTTCAAAGATGTGTTTGATAGTAACTCACTCGAGCTAGGAAAACAAAATAAAATTGAAGAAAGGAAATATACTGTTGCTGGTGTAACACATACTTCCTTCCTGAAGTTTCAAAAGATTCTGGAAATGCTGTAACACATCACTAGTAGCACACACGCAAGTGCACACAGTATTTTGCTTACAAGAGAAACATTAAGAGTGAAATATTTCCAGCAGGGTTTTGAATTTGCCTAGGAGAATTGCTCTGCAGCTGCTACACAGTAACCCCATCATTCACTTCCAAACCCACAGTGCTGATGATATCCAAATGTACATGAAAAGAAAACTTGATCCAAAAGGTCCACATTTGTAGCAAGCAGCAGTACCGTGAATCATCAATTTTGGTGACACATTTTCCTTGTAGGTAGTATCAGAGCTAAAATTCATGTTATTTGTTCACAAAATCCAGGAAGAAGGACAATTAGCAAACTGGTTCTTTGTGCTAGATAGATAATTATAGATATTTGTGTGTTTATTTCATTTAATGCAAATAGTCCCCTATTTGGGGGGGTGTGGTGTCCACAAAGACGTTGGAACAAAACTCTTCTAACAAGAAATGTGTTTCCAAGCTTCACATCAAATGTTGGTATTCATATAACAACATAATTTGGAAAAAAAAACCCAAACAAAAACCAAAACCAGAGAGGACTTGGATATTCAAACATCTCAGGCAGCTATACAGTGGGGATGTCATTCAATTTTTTTTGTTCCTTCACAGTCCTGAGTCCCACTGGGACACAATGAGGTCACCCTGCTTATGCCAAGATGCTTTTGGCTCCTAAAGTTCTTGCCCAGCTAGTGCAAACGAGCAGATACCACAGCATTGCAGGTACGGTCTGCCACAGAAGAAAGGCAAACATGATATAACATGTCATTCCCAACAAAGTGTCTCTCACCTAGGATGGTATTAACCATTCACAAAACCTTTTGGATATTTTGCAGTACGAGCAGGTTTCAGAGCCCAGCACTGAGTACTTTTACATTTAACACACATACAACAGGCAAAAGAAGATGGACTCCATGTAACGAGAGTAGGTAGCGCTTGGCTGCTACTTTAACAAGCAAATGGCATGGAATGAATTTTTACATTGCTTCCTTACATGATCAATGAGGAACTAAGGATATTTCCAGACAGCAGATGGATGCTTCATCAAGTCACCAGGAAAGAGAACGATTTAATCAAAAAAGCCACCACGTCACCTATCACCAGAAGACCACCATTGACATCCCCTTTCAGGCAAGTTCCCTTAAATGCCTTGATTCTTCCCTATGTTTCATTTTCAAAGGAAAAAAAAAAAAAATCCAGTGTGTGTGAAGCCATTTAAAATCTAACGGGTACTGAATGACAAATCCCAATACATTGTTTCATGGAAATAAAATTATCAAATCATGCAGCTGTTGAAATTACATATCTTGTTCCTCTTCACATAAGACTTTTCTGCCTGGTACTCTGAAAAACTACAACACATTCTGTAGTATTTAGCTCAAGTGGGCTTTTAAAAGCAATACCTTTCTAAAAAAGGCAACTTCTCATGTTCTGGAGTTAGAAATTAAAGGTGTGCTAATGGCCTTTTTGTCACATTGCAGTAGCAGAAATCAAGTTGTATCAGTAAAAATCCTGGAAATAATCACATTTTCATTCCCAGTGGGGATGGCAAGCTGCTAATTAAATCTGTCTTGACTAGTTGGGAGCACTGATAATCTCTAATGTAATGTATGCACTGAGGACAGGCTAATACCAAAAATATTTAGGGTCTGGGATTTTTTCCAGGAAAATTAAGATGTCAGTTAATTGACTTTTTTTCTGTCTGGTTTTCATTGAAGACCTCCACAAATCCATTTTTCAGTTTCCCCCCCCCTCCCTACAGATGTCATTATTTTCAGTGGAAAACCCCACACTTCTCCCTCCTCTTCTTCCAAATAGCCGTAATTATAACAACATTAGCAGCCAAGTAGGTACCTTGAGGGCAAAAATCTGGAAAGCAGCAGAGTGTGGAAGGGAACAAGAGATGATATTATAATGAAAGTAAGCGGACACATCATGCTTCTTCATGTGCTCATCTGGGCATCTTAGGGCTCTGCAGGTTGATTTCTGCTTTCCCTAGGCATGCCAAGATGAGGTGGTGACCAGCTGCTCTTCCCTCTCCCACAAGCCTCCAGAGCTTCACCCTTGAACTGAGATGTAGGTGAAGGGCTACGTTTTGGCTTCTCCCTGTGCCTGGCATAACCGGATCCAAAATAAAAACGTACAGTTTAGGTCAAAGAAATCTGGTAGTTGTATCTGATGTTCTGAAGGTGTAACCGGGGTTCTTAAATACATGTACTGAGAATCTTTCTGCCAAGAAAACAAATACAGTAAGATTAATTTTGGAAGTGAAAAAGGCAATACATGCCAGCAGTTGTGGCATGCAAAAGGGTTCTTGCTCTGAGGAGGCTTTGAGCAATAAACCTCTTTTCCAGAGAATTTTTCATTAAAAAACTGGGTTCAGGGAAAATCTCCAAAATCAATCTTTTTTTCAACTGTCTTTTCAATTTTGCACAGTTGGATAAGGAAGGAAGTCAACACTGCTTGCCAAATAAAGTGACATTAAGTACAGTTGCTGGAAATCTTTCTGCCTTGCTCCTTAAAAAGAAAAAAAACAACAAAAAAACCCCCAACAAAACCGCCCAAACCCACAACCAAGAACAAAAAGATCAGAAACCTGTTCCAGGAACATCGAGCACGGAGAGACTTAGGGGCTAACGTCTCTCCAAAGGCAGGGTTGCTGGTCAAACAAGGCTAAACTGGAAAAATTTAAGCACAGTTTAGGACGAGGCTTTCTGCACAGCAAAGTACCTTGGGATGGACCACCCCAGAGGCAGGCAGGAAGCGTTATTCTCTTGTAAATACATTGCCGGTGTAGTGAGGCAACATCTCATCTCATCATCTTCCTTAATCCCTACCTTCTTCCTCCCATTGCTTACCTTTCCACATTGCCCTTCTCTCTTTATTGTGACCTTCAAGGAAATACCTTTGCTTTTTTGGAAGCCTGATGATTTCCCTTAATCCTGCTTTGCAGACAGGTGGTCGCCCTGTGAGGACTACCTGAGTGGTCTTTCCCTGGCAGCCCGATCTCCATTGCAGCCCACCTACGGAGCACGGCTGGACACAAAACGTTCCTATCCATCTCTTCACCCTGCCTGCTTTCAGCTGGAGTATTTCATGTTTGGGAAGATAGGGAGAAGAAATACTTATGTTCACAGACAAGCTGAACTCTGGTATGAGTTATCTGAGTTTTTAAGCAGTTTAACAAGAGGTGCAACATGAAACTTTCTGGATACAAATGGGAAGAAAATGCTAGTAAAATCAGACCAATAAACCTGAATACAGCCCACACCCTCCTATTTGCAAACCGCCTTTTGAATACTTCTGGATTCAGTTCAGATCTCAGTGGTGGTGTGGAAAACTGAACTCTTGAGATTGCAGCATGAAAGAGCAGGAGGAGAGGAACCAGGTTAAACCCTCACCTTCTTGTGGCCATGCAGACATAGAGATGGCAGGCAACTGCATCCTGCAGTGCAGCCTGGCATGAAAGCCACCCCAAACCATGGGAATGCCTTTAGTACCTGTTGCACTGCGACTGTGCAAGGGTGTGGAATACATCAACTCACTAAACATCTCATCAAGGATAGCATTTTTTTCCCATCCTTTTGGGAAAATTATATTTTATGTGGTTAGTAATTCTTCACTGTCCAATGCAACCCCTGGCAAGTCAAAGTTGTCTCCATACTTACCAGTGGAGAGGCTGTGTTTTTTTAACCTATGAAGCCTACTAAAACCGTTTCTAGGGTCCCAAAGCCAGAGTGGCCTGAATGGTTCTTTGTTAACTTTTAAGTAAACTCCCTAAAGCCAGAGACATATCTTTAAAAACAAGTTGAGTGGCTTTATGGAGCCAGGGGGGATCATCAACTTCTGGTTAACGAAGGCAATTCAACAATAACTGTGGGCAACTGTGGACAAATAAAAAAAAATAATCACTGATAAAATAATTTAAATCTTGGCTACTGAATCAAAAATATGAAGAAAGGCCAAGTCTTATCCACAGAATCCCTTTCTGGATGCCAGAATGTCTAGATACAGCTAGTACTTTTTATTTTACTTACTCAGGCACACAGAGAAGTAAAAATGTTAAGTAAATGCAACCAAACACACATACTAGGATTGCTAGCTGTGTTTGGTCACCTGCACTTATTCATACACACGCATGCCTACCATCACATTTCCATGCCCTACATGAACCAAGGCAGGGATAAGATACTCAAGCATGCTGTTGCACCACACTCTGAACTCTTCGTTCAAGGGCATGCTGATGTGATTTCAAGGCTGAGGACTGGTCTCTCAAGCCACAGCAGCCAGCCTGTGGCAACTCTGGGAGTAACTGTCTGTTTCTACAGAGCAACTTCAGCCTTGTGCACCACAAGGGCTACAAGACCCTTCTCTTCATCCAGATTCTTATCTGGCCCATAGATACTTAGCTGTAAAAGAGAAAGGTAGGTCACTAAAACAAACTTAAGCTCTTTTCAGTAGGATTAAATCCTTAAATGACCCCTAGATAGTCCAGCTGCAAAATACAGAGAGACACAGATTACTTCGCCAACAAGAAGTGTAGGGTAGCTCTGAGGTGTTTTAGTCAAAGAACTGAGGACCGCTCAGCACATTGCTCAACCTCACTTAACTGACAAATTTCTTGGGAAAGAGGGAGCTGATGTAGCCCTGATTAACTAACAAGTGGTGTTCATTACCCCAAACTCTGAAGAGACACATAAGGTTTTTGCATAAAGCCATACTTCATAGCTGTAATCTTAGCAGCTCCCCTTAGCTTTACTCTCTTCATAAAGCTAAATTGCAAGGATTTCATTTAGATAATTACCATTATCTTTGCTACTGTGGAACATCTCTTGTTCATTCTCATTTTGGAAAGAAAGGCTTAATGGAAAAAAAGAACAGAGTTTTTTGAGTTTGGTTTGGTTTTTTTTTTCTCATTTTGCCTCCCTATTCTTCTCATCCTTCCCATATTCTGATGAAGTTATTTCCAGGCTAATTAGAAAGGCCTCAAATCAAAAAGTGCCAGATCCAAACCATCACGCTACCAAGAAAGTTCAGTGCTGGAGGCAATATTGCTCCTCAGACTTGTGCCTAAGTGATCCTCTGCCAACTACCAAAAAATAGATCTGTGGGGAAAATAACAGACTGGAGTAGAAACTTTGGAAAATAGGATCAAATAGGATTGATCAAATTTCTGTAGCCATTAAAAAAAAAAATTAACAAATATTTCAGTGATTATCCTATTTCTGTAGATACAGGCAAAGAGGTGTTTCTTACAGAAAAAAAGAGAGACAAACTAGGCTTCATAGAGGCAGCAGTCCTTTAAGATAGCCTTCTTTGAATATGGGAGCAGCTAAGAAAAGTGGTGACAGTCAGAAGAAAAAGTACAGATATGGTTACACGAGATGCAGAAAACATGAGATTACGGCTGGTTACAGAAGGACCTGGAGAAGCTAAGTCAAATGCCAAACCACACCGGGTGCACATAACTTCCTCCCTCACAAAGGAGGGGAGAGAGGGAGGAAAACTGCAGAAAAAAATTAATAATTCCTCCTCAGTGACAATATGCCTTTGCAGTCCCGATGACATTATAGCAAACTAGTTAGTTGATGTAGAGACTCTCATAGATTTCAGATATCTTTAAAACAGGGTTTTTTTTTTAAAAATCAGTTTCCTGATTCAATTCACTTGTGTTCAGTTCTAAAGTTACAACCTGTGACCTGTATTTTTTAATTATTCCTTCAGAAAAAATACCCAGTGTCAAAGGAAAATTTTTTCAGTTAAGGAAAACTTAAGGGTTTTCCCTAGAAACATCAATCTACTGAAATAGCATTCCTAAAGGAAACTGCCTCACACCTAAAAGTTGCTGCACTGCTGTTTTGTTTTTCTATAATGAAGCCCTATCTCAGAAGAGAAAAGATTTATTGGTCAGTTTATCACCTAATGAGGAAATGAAAGATGAGAACTGAGACTCGGGAATGCTGCTGCACATACTAGCTCATTTAAACTCACCATTGTAATTCTCACTTGTACAAAACAGAACAAAGAAATTGGAACATCAAGAATCCTTTCATCACGTATTCTTGGAGTTTCTATCTTTGAAACCTTTCTCAAAATACTTAAATACAGATTTAATATAGGTGACTATATATTATACATAAACCCAGGCTAGTGCCTTTTAACTGATAGTAGAAGTTGGACTTCTCTGTGATCAATGGCTAATAAAATAATCTTTGTTTTATCAGCAAAGATAAAAACAATAAGAGCCCTGGAGATGTTAAAGCAAACATCCTAACCATAGCTGTGATGGGACTCATGAGAATTCCTCTTTATGAGGACTGAAAAGAAAAAAGGGAAGGGAAAAGTCTTCAAGTGTCCCACTCACTGTCCTATTGAGAAGGAGGTATTTGGATGTTCTGGACAAGGAACAGTAATAAGAAGGACAGAGCATGGATTTTTAAAAAAGTTTTTTCAGGGAGCCAGAAGTCCAGTCATATAATCAGGCAGAGTAAAAGAAGAACTCTCTTTCTTCAGATCCCCTATGTGTACTGCCCTGGACCACAGCTGCAGTTGGTGGCCGGACTTGTTTCATTCACTGTTATAAACATCCTCCCCATATTCTCTGGTGCAGTAAATCACTTTGAGTTTAAGTGGGAGGAACTACAAAATTAATCTCCTGTCCTCTCTTGCAGTCACAGCACTACTTTCCCTACAACCACATCAGAACCCTCCGAACAGTTGCCATGTAATTATGGCAAGCTCATCCTCCATTTCAGTGAGCTACGTTCCCACCCTACCCTCTCTTCTGTGCAAATGTGGACAACAATAAATAATGGAATAGTTCCTCTGTAGCCATCATCTTCTTCTAGATGTTACAAAACGGCATTTGGTGACGAGTCCCTGCCACCCCATATGGTACCCACTTGCACTGTGAAACGGCAGACACATGAAGCACAAACGTTCCTGCAGTGCACACCAGCAAACTTTGCTGGTCCCCCTGCAGCACAGGATGATCTATCATGCATCTGAGATGGTATCTCTACAAAAAGGACACAAGACATGAGAACAGAGCAAAACACAAAACTTTAGGTGCCGTAATTCTCAACCACTTTTGAGAGAAAAGGGGTGGTTTAGGGGAGTTTCTGAAGGAAAAGATCCAGAGGGGCAGATTCCCACCCAGAACAACGTCTCTTCTTCCTTGTGCTCTCTGGCATCCATCTTTTGAGTGGTCTGAAACAAGTACTCTGAAACACCCAGGAACTTGGCATGATTTCAAATCCAGGTATGAATATTAAATACTCCTCCTGGTTTCCAAAAGATAGTTTGCACCAACACTTTGGCAACTAATTCACTTTGTCCATTTACATGGTTTTATTTTCAGACCTGCCACCTTGAACTATCAGAGCAGATCAAGAACAGCAATGGGCATTTTGCCTTTAAGGTGAAACAACATCCTAAAGCCTGTACTTCGTTACCAAGGACTTCTAAAATCTGCCCCATCTTGGCCCCTAGGTTCGGCACACCATTAAATTTTATCTTAGCTGGAGCAACAGAAGCTCTAAGGACAACTCTGAGGATATCTTTTCTTTAGGACTGTTACTAGGCGTTTAATGAGGCAAGCGTGTGATCCTATAATGTGTAATAGAGACATCTTACAAATTGCAATGAAGCTGAAAGCCGCAATGTAGATGGTATTACATTAGAAACCTCACCTGTGTTGCACATACACCAACCTCAGCTCTCTGAGGCAAAGCTGTCACATAAGCACTCAACAGATAAATAGGAAAGTTTACTCTACATCCCTCAAAGGCCCCCATTTTAAAAAGTACATTTAAAATATGCTCTGTACAGCTGTTGTCTTACCATTTGCCTTGTGCTGCACATCTGGCGGAAACTGGTCAGGAACATACCACTGATAGTCTGGCTGCACAGAACAATAAAACATTATTACAGCAATATGGACTTCATAGACACTTCAAACAAAAGAATAGTGACATGATAAAAATATAATTGTGCTGTGAAGTTTTTTATTAGTTATATAAAAGTAGTTTACAAAAAATCTTATATTTAGCTTTATATTTCCACTGATCGAGTCTTTCAGCTTGCTTCCTTTTTTATGACATGTGGTTTAGATGCTGCACTCATTAGAAATATTGGTGAAAACCTTTCTAGATCCCACAAATCAAAAGAAACATTAACAGAAACAACTCAGATCTTTTAAAAGGACTAAGGAATAAAGTGCACTAGAAGATACTAGCAGGCATCACATTCTCTGTACTAAAGAACCCCAGAAAAACCTGGTACACATCGACCTGATAGGTGAAGCTGTTCCACTTTGAATACATGTAACATCTGTAATATGTTTCTGTGTGACAGGAATAACCCATTTAATAAAGTTCTCTCCCCTCCTCCCTTCCCCACAGGTTAGCATTAGTGTTACTATAACATTAGCTGTTACCAAATTACTTCTTGAAAATACTGTGGGATGGGAAAAATTCCCATCTTTCTTATAAGATGAAGTATTAGGAAGGTTATGTCCATGCAAACATAGTTTTGTCCAGGGAAATCCTGGAAGAAATAAATAGTGCATTATAGTTTATACCACACACTGTGGTAAATGAGTAGCAAATTACCACCAGAGAAAACAATTTTGGGACCAGACGTCTCAGTTGAAGCTGTATTAAGCTGTCTACCTGGTTCAAGTAGTACATGCAAGCTTGTCCAATTCCAGGTAATTACTGCTTCAAATTAGTTAAACTCAGAAAATAATTCTTGCTTTGCAGAAATTACTCTGACAAAATCCTGAATAGTCCCAAGGAGATTCTTACAGATTTCAATTTATAGAGAAGAAATTTCATAGACTTCTAAAGAAGTTTTGCCTAAATTAAAATAGCAGGATGAAGCTGTAGATACAGAAAATAGATGTAACTTTTCTGTATGCTGTCATTTGTAGTTACATAGCAGTAATCACTCTCATACACTGTCAGGAAAAAAGGAGCTATCCTATCTTCACTTAATTATACCATCCACAGAAATTATTAACTAATTCTGTGTTTGTGGGCAAACAAAATAGGCTTTGATATAAAGCAAGACTCTGCTTTGCGTTAAGCACAGGTAGTTTTTCCACCGATGGCTCAAAATACACTTATGTGCATTGCTTTTTTGAGTTTCTGTTGAATTTTCTGTTCTCTGATCTACTCTTCTCTTTCATATGTACTTACACTATGCAAACTTGAATGTATTTCAGAAACAAGAGGTGCATTTCATGTCAGACTAAAAATGTTTCTACTAACAATGTAAAAAGGAACAAAAAGGTGCAGGATATAAAAAGAACGAAAAAGCAAAAGCACAGACTAAACTCACAGGATTACGTACGTTAACTCAGGACACTCATTAAATTCTAACACCTTTCTTCATTGCTAAACAAATTGCTCAGGGAGGTATCAAAAGCTCAGAGCAGCAACGCTGCACTCACACAGACAAAGAATTTCAAAGAAAACTCAGAATGAAACTGGGAGTTACAAAGCAACCAGTCAAACTGACCCCGTCGCTCCAGCAGGAATGGCAAAGTTGTAAACCCAGTGATCCCTCACAGAATTAGAAACCCAGATGATGGAAGTTCAGGGAGAAGAGCCAAAATAATCTGGGCCAGTGTCCAAATTGCAGTGAAAAACATTCTGCAATACTTCCAACTCTGATAAATAGGCAGATAAGCACACTCGTGAAGCATAGAAATGACTTGTTTGACCACAGCTTTTCTGCTGGATTTCTACAGTCTGAAAACCTTATATGTGTTTTGCAAAAATTTGGCTATAATTTCTCAAATAATGAGCATCTTTCCATATGTGACAGCTTTATAGCCAGAAACAGATATTGTGTATTTAAAATGACATTCACCATGTTTAAATACTTTCTCACTAGATTTGAACAAGCACAGCCCTCTTAGATAACCCAAAGCACTTCAAAAATATCATTCTCTAAAGAAGTATTTTCCCTGAAATAGATAACTCCTCCTCACATAACCTGCCCTAGTGCAAAGCTATTCTTCATGCTGAGGAAGACAGGACGCTGTTGTGTGCCAGGAAAAAAGGCAAATTTCCCATTGTGTTAGCCACACTCAGATATAACTTCGACTTCTGGATTTTGTTTTGTTGTTGTTGTTTGTTTGGTTTTTTTGCAATACAAAGGCTTGCTTAGGAAAAATTGCATTTCTGAAGCATTCACAGCCAGAGTGCCGCAACCTCAGTAGAACCTTACTCGTCATGTAATCCCATTTCACAGCAGTGTATCAGAGGGAAGACACTACTGGGTACAAGCAACAGCACCTGGGATTTCACCCTTACAGTTTAATAACAACGTTGTGAATCCTGCCAACAGCTTGTCTGCCTGCCCCAGAAGCAGGACTCTGTGCAATTCAGTACTGAAGACACTGGAACAGCAAGGAAGAGAAGAACACAACTATCAAGAGAAAACCAGCATTTTGAGGCAGATAGTAAGGGAAGGGAGACTGCACAGAGATCACCAAGGCTGTTCCAGACCTAGGGCTAATCCTAAAACCAGTACAAAATCTTGATCTGGAATAAACTAGGAAACGACAGATTTAGTTACTGGTGAGGATAGCCCTGTGATGGCACCAGGTTATTTTCCAGTGTTCACCATGCTTTGAGAAGATCAGTGCCCATGTGAAATGGGAGACAGTGGGAACCTTACTGAGTGCTGTTGCTGCTCACGTGCCCTGTGTGATGCTGGATGTACTCGAGGATCTTGATAGTGAAGAACCAACCCACAACTCCCATAATTAACACATGGTGAGAGGAAGAGCGGAGGTGTGTAGCTGGGCTTCTCAGGCTGTACTGGGAGGTTTTTTGTCTGTCAAAAAATAAGAAAAAGAAAAAATGCATTAGCAGCGGGATATGACAACCAACAGAATATTCATGTACAAATTCATCAGTAAAAAGCAGTGAGGAAGAAACCCTCCCCTCTCAGCATGTTTTGCAATGCTGCTCATTTAGCCCCTTCAGACTGTTCAAGATTTAAAACATTATTTAAGAAAGCTGGCTTGTGCCACACCGAAGTCTTGACACTTTTTATGTGATAAAATATAGGTTTCAAGATATGGCAAGCACATTTCTGGGTGTTTTCTATATTCAAGAAACATTTTCATTACACACAGTAGCTTTCAGTAGTTTGACACAGAACCACATGGACAGGCACTTGCATAACAAGAAAAATAATTTTGGTAAAGGACCAAAGTCGATGGCCATAACACTTGGGTCTGCCTTTTCTTAGGCCCTCTGTGTCCCAGCAGAGTCAATGGTAATCTGCCTAAGGACAGAGCAAGGAGGGGTGAAAGATGATTAACATTCTATAATTCTATTCTATGAGTCACAACTAAATAATTTGACTTAAGAAAACAAACTAATAAAAATTCTGTATGGTTCCTCTCATGTTTAAAAGCCTTCACAAGCTCTGTTTAATCCAATCCCAAGGCAGGAAGAGACAAACAAGAAGATCTGTAGTGTAAATTGTCGACGCAATACAGGGACAATCAAGTTGTACATACACGTTGCACAGCACTTGTACAGCCCTTTGGGTATGTTGTACACATGCAGTGCTGTTGGCATTTCTCCTGGTCCAGAGTGCTGGAGAGGAGTGGGAAAGGCTTTTTAGTCCCATTTGTAGTCCCCCTCTTCACTGTCACTGCTGTGAGAAGCTCTCACAGCATCCATTGTCCCCGTTGGGGTTGTGCAGGAAATTTAGTCTTTTCCAGTCTCAAGACAATGCAAAAATATAGGAAGAAGGTGTCTTTGAGTACTCTGTCTCCTACAAAAAAATTTCTTTACCTTACTGAATCATCCAAGAGTGGGCTGGTGAGTGGGGGAAATATACCTGAAAGTTATTGCATGCAATGCTAGCAGATTTGTCCAAGGTATTTCTATATGCCTGGAATGCCCTGAGTGGCAAATCATGGCATTCCCTCTGGCATTGCTATTCTTAGACTTGCACAAAATGCTTCCAAGTACCCATAAAAGCACTGACAAATCTGGGCCTTTACTGCAGCAGTGCCCAGCATCGGCCAGGATGCCCAACCTGCTCTCCACTCCTGCTGAAGCCAACAGCAGTGAGGGGCACTTGACAGCACCTTGCCTCTGATACCACTGCAAGACCCTACTAGTACTGATGCATGGGTTGGTTGACAATAAGCCAATACTGAAGTTTCTGTTTCACAACAATGTTGGGGAGAACAATAAATCATCACAGAACATTTTGGTAATTGGCCATTCTTTTAAAACATTGCACAATTTTGTCAAGACAGGAAACCTCGAGATTTCATCATTTTTAAATGGGGATTGAGAAAGCTCAGAGTTTTGCATGCCATGATTTTACTATGGCTTCCTGAATGTCTGTGAACAGAACACTGACACTGCTGTGAAGAGATAAAAAAGATGTTGCAACAAAAAACTATTGCAGTGGCTGCTCAGCTAATTTGGATGGAGACTTTTTTTTTCCTCAGTGATATTAACATCACTCTCTAATTCCACTGCAGAGGTCAGGATTAATTACAGAAGCTTTTTATTTCAAAAGTTGGTTTGATGTTACAACTCTTATATCAAGTGCCAGTGAAACAATCAACAGTCCTCTGGATTTGTTTTTGGTTCCCCCCCTCCATTTTACGATACGTTTGAAGAGTTTTTGCAATAAATACTCCCTTCATCTACTTAATTTGGAAGTCATCTCTAACCATTTCTCATCTTCTTAGTGCATTACTTCAGAATGATTTCATCCCAGGTGGTGACCTCATATAAAATCCAGTATCAATTAATAGAAGCCAGAAAGCCTTGGGTTGTGTGGAAAGTGAGAAAATAAAAATAAAATACACATGTGTTGGCAATGGCAACTTTGTTTTGACTTATACCTGAGAGTTTAGTTTATTCAGTTGAGACTGTAATCTCTCATTAATTTTCTGCAATGCTTCTTTCTCCTCATTAAGTCTTTCTCTGTCAGATCTCTCCTTTCTGAAGTCTTCTTCGTATATTTGTACCTGCAATCATTATGACCAAGTGTGTGAATTTTAGCAGAGCCACAATGGAAATTTTCATCCACTTTGTTGTTTGGTTGCTTTTAAACACTGGCCAAGCAACGGGGTGCATTCCAAAGGGATCCCACCTCTTCACAATCCTGCAACCAAAAGTCTCCCTCACCTTTTTTATGACCAATACAAAATGACAAGCAAGGGCTGTTCTCCAATGGCACCCATTAGTCGAAACAGTCCACAGCTTCAATATTTGTGGACCCTTGCAATTTAAAAGGCTGGCTAGCAGATATCAGTTTTAAATACTATAAATAAGATAGCAAATACTAAAAGACATTGACCTTTTTAAGGGATAAACAGTAGCAGGACAAACATTTTACCAAAAATTTTTTCCAGTTTTCTCTTCAGTTATGAGCACTTTCAACTCCACCTTGTATCTCAGATAGCAAGCAGTTAGCATTCTGGTGGAAATGGGAGGTGCTGGCACAGCACAAAAAACTGACTTCTAGCATGCAGTCTGACAGAACGTTATCACCTTATCCAACCTAACAATGAGCCACTATCATCAAATAACATCCTGCCTTTTTATAGCCCACTGAACACCACTGGCCTTGAGCCTGCTTTGCTTTACACCTTTTTGTAGTTGTCTGCAGCTTTACCTTACCCACTGCCCTGTCTAATCAAGGTGTGGCCCAAAGAACTAATCCGTGCAGTATGAGTGATAGTCTTCAAAGCTGTGATCACCTATTAATGACCAGAAGACTTGGACTAGTCAGCACTGTCAAGGAATTTAGACCTTGGCTGGAGCACTGTGGAAAAAAAAAAAAAACTGTAGGAGGCTGTTGTGCCCCAGATGTTAGAAACTGTATGTGGAAAAAATAATTGGCCCGTGTACTTTTTGTCTGCAATATAGGACTTCTAATTCATACTCTCAAACTGCAGCCCAAAGAACCTACCTGCCCCAGTGTAGAAGCACAGGGGAATGTTATGTACACAATTCAAAATCGAAATACAGAGGTTTGACCATGTTCCTAGAAGATAAGCTGCCTTTGAAATACTGAAGGATGCAATGGCTTAGCTCTTTTTATGTCACCAGGAATCATAGTGCTTCATCCCATTAAAAAATATCTGACCACCCCAGGCACAGGCAGCTAGCGCATGGATTCAGAAGCAAAACACAAATCAGTAAATTAATTTGTGTTAAGCTGACTGGCTTAATTCTTCAGATAATGAGCAGGCATCCACCTGGTAAGAAGCTGGAGATTGGTGGCACTTCTACTGACAAATAACAGCAAAAGCATGTTGGGGTGGGAACAACCACCAGAACTTTCAGAAGTCCTTTCATGTCCTCTTGGTTGCTCACTGAAGACCGCTGACAGTCTATTTCCAAAGAAGTTCCTTGCTGTGGCTGATGCCCTGCCCATCATACAGATCCAGTTTTCTTTTTGCTAGCAGCAGCACTATAACTTCCCAGGAGGACTAAAGAAATGTTAATACCTCAGGGGAAGAAAAAAAGCCAACAGAGGGCTTTCAATTATTTTCACGACTTGCCTGTTGCAGCTAATTTTTGCAAGGTTTTTTTTTGGACCTGATTGTCCCCCACTAGATATAACCCTGTTCCTGAATAACACTGTGTAAAAGGAACAAAGGCTTCTGTGTGGCCACATGGGGACTCAGCTCCGCAGCCTGTGCCTGGAGGAGCCATGCGTGCCCCTGACCCTCCAAAGCAGAGGCAAAGCTGTCACTTGCAGAAATCTAGGTCTCTTGTACCCCTGTCCATCTACATGCTTCTCTCCTCAGTATTTCCTCATTTCTTCTCTCCCGATTCCCTCTCTGCTGTCCCACCTCTCTCCCGCTCCCCAGCTGTACAATTTGCTGAAGCTGCAAGGGAACCACTTTGTCACAGTTTTGCTGTATATTCTGCTACCCTGAGAAACAGGAGGGCATATCCCAAGGAATGAATGCCTTCATCTCTTTTGTCATGGCCAGGGGTGGGCTGATGACAGCCAAGCTCTGGTGAGACTCTGTCACGTCGCTGTTTGTCCCAAGAGTCCCTCCTCCGTACAGCTAGAGCCTTCTGCTCCATTTCGTGCAGAAGGAAGTCTGGACTCACTGTACTGATTTATACAACTAGAAAAAGACATTCATAAAATGGATACCCCAAGAGAATTCTGAAAAAAATTGGTTTACTCTATTTTATTGTGTAGAATGAAATAACTCATTACTGTACAATCAAGTACAGGATTTTATTCTCCAGCATGTGGCAAGCATTACATTAGAGAGCAAAATCTGGCTCTGCTGTCAAACGTGACAGAAACAAGTATTTTATTCCCATTGAATAAAATTCCTGTTCTGATCACATCCATTTGTGTGTCAATAATGTTAACCCTAACACTGTCCAGGATGACAGACCTAAAATGTAAAATTATCTGAAAAGTATCATGTTTTTAAACAGATTCTTTCATATGGAAAGAAAAAGAGTGCACAAAGCACTTGAATTGCACAGAACAAAGACCAAAAAAAAATACACTTCTCTATAGTGATTGGTATGCAGGTTATGGATGCAAACGTTTTACCTCACACTTTGAAAAATTGCAATGCCAACACTCTAGTTCTCCAAGACTAGGATTCTTAGATAACTCACTAAACTTTCAACTTCTAAGAAAAAAAGGAGCAGAAGACACAATCAGTAACTCATGAAGTTTAGCATTCCCTCTGGATGAAATTCAGCCCCTAGCAGAGAGCTGGCAGGGTGTTTTTAAGAACCACAGGAGCCATTCTGCTGCTTCAAGTCCTACACAAGTCCTTGCTCCAGTCCTTTGCAAGGATTCAGTTTCATTTCGTGGACACTGCTGTGATGACAGAATCTTAGGAAACATGATTTGAAAGGGCTATGGCTAAACTGGTTCTTCCTTTCAAAAGCTCTACATAGCAAGTCTACCAGGCACAATTCTTGGGAGAAAGGGCAAAATTATGCCGTATGAAATCCATCCAGGCTTACTTCCAGCTGTTCTCACCTGGTGCCTGAGAACTTCAAGTTGGGTTCTCATGTCCTCAAGGCTGTTCCTGTCACCCTTCTCTGAAGGAGTCCCAAGAACAGGTGAGTGCTGCTTTTTCAACACATCCAGAAGGGCCTACAATGTCAAACAGCAAAATTACTAAACAGAGATTCACTACATATTAAAAAAAAAAAAAAAAAAATCCTTTTAAATGATTAGAATGTTTGCTCTCTAAATAAACAGATTAGAGTAAGTCACGGACTTGTGGGTTTTTTTTCCTTCATTTGCAGTTGCTTCAATTATATACACTGGATATAAACCCCATGAATAATGTATGTGCCTGACTAGGTCCAATTTTCAAAGTGCCCACACTACATCCATGAATTTGAGACAGTGTCGTTTAGGGGACTGTGCTTTTACTTATAACTGTAACCAACATTACCTATGTAAATCACAGCTGCAAATCTCATTCATAAACACCGTTTCCCTGTGCAAGTCAGAATTTGGGAAAACAAAGACAGGTGTCTAAACTCAGCTGAGCCCAAAAACAAGCAAACAAAAATCCAAAACCAGCAATATTCAAAGATTGCCTAAAAATGTGACTGCAGTAAAGTCTGACTGAAACATTTTTTGCACTGAGTACAAATTTCTGCGACTGGACTGAAGTAAACCCTCCAGTTGAGAGGAAGTTATGTAGTCTCTACAGTTTGTCACTAGAGGGAGTTATGAATACACACACACACTACACTGGTAATGCTATTACTCTATTTTTCAGCCAAATTCTGCCATAGTTCTTTGCAGATTTTGGTTATTTTTAACAGTATTACACAGCTCTCCCTCGGACTGGAATAATTTTTAAATCATTCTTACCTCTCTCTGTCTATAACCACACACTACACTTCGTTTGGTTTTTTTTTTTGCTCTAGCACAAAATACTCACCATTCAGTACTTTTCAATGTCTCTCACCTAAAATATGGACTCAGCTAAGTTCATCCATTTTAGAAAGTTCAATTCCTGCTAATGATCCCCAGCTCTGCCTTGCTGACCACACTCCATTCATGTCATAAGGGAAGAAGGAAAGATAATCTGGAGGGGGAAGAGGCAGAGGGAGAAGTGGCCAAGAAGGAGAACTGGTACGTAAAGTAACCCAAGGATTAGTATTAATTATCAAAAGGCCAAAAAAAAAAAAAAAAAATCAGCCCTTCCCATTAAGAGCACAGAAGAGAAAAGGGAGGCTTTTTATCTGATGACTACTGACCCTAAGAATCGCACAGAAGAGAAATTGGTATAATAGTGGTAAGATTGTATGCCATGTCAATACATAAATAAAGTTGAACATAAACATGGGATGATGAAGATACAGATAGCTTACTGATTAATCCTCCTTTTGCCCCTTTGAGCCGCTGCTAATCCCTTTTAGGTTATGACATTGCAGTTCTCTGCACAAATAGTAAAACAAGTACTAAAGCCAAGTTTCACATTGGTGTTTAGATTGGGCAGGAATTGCCAGCGGCAGCAAGAGTCAGTGAAGTTTGACAACATCTGGGTACCTCTGATACGTTCCCTGGCTGACTGCAGCCCGGCTTTCCCAGGCATATGGTTTGTTAAGCATACTGCTGGGGACAGTGATGAGTGAAGCATGCTTTTCTTCTTCCCCCTGCCTACACGGAATACATCTCAGTCTTGCTGACAATCACAGAATCATGAGACTCATTTGGGTGGCAGGGGACCTCTGGTGGTCCAAGCCCCCGCTCAGAGCTGGGCCAGGGAGGTCAGGTTGCTCAGGGCCTGTCAACTGAGTACCTGGCACCTCCGACGACGGCAATTTCACAGCCTCTCCAGGCAACCTCTTCTAATATTTGACCACCCTCGAAAGAAAGTGCTTCAGATGCCCTAATTCAATGATCACTGAATGTCCTGCTTCCTTCACAACATACTGTTTTCCCAGCCATCTGCTGCACCCAATTTTTATATTAAAACTCCTTTACTAGGATGTATCTTATTGATTGTGGCCATCCTGACATTACCAAATGGTAACGCACCTTTACAGTTGAAGTATGTATATTCATAAGCTGTTGATGGTTCTCCTAATTCTTGAACAAATGTGACTATACTGACTATTTTCCTTGCAGCTCACTTAGTAGAAACATATCATGATATAGACTTATTAGGTATTTGGGCAATTCTTCAGGGTTTTTTTGTTTATCTGGGAGGTTTTTTTGAGGAGGTTCTACATCTCAGAATTACAGAAGAAAAAAATAGAAAAATCCAGAAAATTCGATCTCCAAAATGTTAACAGTAGAGAAAAAAAAGTGAAGTTTTTTTTTTAAACCACATTTGGAATCAATACTGTGAGACCTTGTTTTATCATTTCAAATAAAATAAGAAATTGCAGCATGAATAACGCTGAATTGGTTTAGGGTCATACTTTGAGGAAATATTGTAAAAGACATTCTGAGAAGTGCTAGGTATGGGGAGAAAAGGTAAAATTTTGTAATGTTGCTATTAGATCAATAGCAAATTATTGAGAACTATGTCATTATAGGAGATTTGGATTCCCAAGTATAAAACAGAGACTAAACACTACTAAAGCTAATACTCAGAGATATAACAAATATTTTTCTTTCAAAATTCCCATCACTCTGAACTGATAAAAGGTGGGGGCTGTTTTAGAGTCATTTATGGAAGAAATGAAGATATTACTGTTCCACTGGTTTTAAAAAACAGCAGTGAATAAAACTGTCACGAGACACTTGAAATTAAAAGTAAATAAGCTATTTTAAATATGTAACTAAGATTTGTAATTTCAAATTAACAAATATGAGAAATGACAAAGAACTTCTAGGCACCGTCTATAATTGGTCCTGCATGCAATTTTTTCAGATCATTTGGCTATTCCTACTTCATTAAAAGTCAAAGTACAAAGTACAAAAAAAACCCAACCAAACAAACCACTCCCCTACCCCCCAGAAAATCATATCTCAAGGAAGCTGAAAAAAAATTGTAGAGGAAAATGCTCAAGGGACAGCTAGATGAAAAATTTCAAGAAGAAAAATTAAAATGCCTTTAGGAACTAGAGAAAGGATTTAATCCCAACAAAAGCTATCACTTTTGGTAGCTTTTAGATTAAAATGCAGGGTAAGAGAGACGGTCACACTGAGCTGTATGTTGCAAAAGAAATTTAACTATAAAATATATACATATAATTTTTTTTCACTGTAAAAATGAGTACAAGGAAGGCATTACACAGGAAAGCAAGACTAAATACAGTATTTCCAATAATGAGGATAACATAGAGCGCTGTGGCAGTGGCAGAATGGCTAACAGCAAGGAAGATGTACCAATGAGAAAGAACTCACAGCTCACTGAGTTAAACTGAGCTTAACTTAATGTTGTGTTAAATAAAATTCATTCAGAAGTACTGAGAACTGAAACCTGAAATTGCAAGAGAAGCAGCGCAGAGGTTTTCTGAATTTTTCAACATCAAAAATGGAACTGTATGAAAAATAACTACCTTGGCTTCCAAAGCCACAAAAAGGATAACCGGTCCATGCACCTAGAAACCTCTTAATTTAACCTCAAGAGTGTGTTAGGCTTGGGTGGAAATTTTGAAGAGGATTGCCTTATAGACATGAGAAATGGGATGAAGTAAAGCACTCTTTAACCTGATGTCTTTCATAAAAAACCCAGATTTTCTTATCAGGGAAATACATTAGATCTTATTAGTCTCTGTTTAAATAACAGTTGAGATAGTGCTGCAGCAAAGTTATGAAATAGGTAAAAAATTTGGCTTGTACTCAAACTATATGGTGAACAAGGAAACAGCCACAGGAAAGCCAATAATCTTGGGATATAGCATTGCAAACTCTTATGGCATTGCAACATCACTTTCATGCTGCAGACATCAAAGGATCAGATCAGACTCTATACTTTGGGTACTCTGGATGACTGGATCAAAGTTGGATGAAGCCAAAAGTAAAAAGGTTAATGTACTTAAAGTAAAAAAGTTAACGTACTTAGAAACAAGTAGTAATATCTTCCATAGACTGAGAACTAAGCAGTTTAAAAATGACTGAGATGAAAAAACATGCATATTTAGCAGGCATAGTTGCATTTTAAAAGACCAAAAGAGCTGGGTCAGCTTAGCTAAACTGTCCTCTCATGAAAATACGATTGCTTTCTGTAGCTATAGGGAAAGAGCAAGAGCCCCTGAGAGCAATCGTATTTTCACTACAGGACAGTTCTGCTTCACCGAGAGGACAGATCTGCTTCACACAAGGAGTGAACCAGATCTGTTCAACACTACTACCAGAAGAAAAAATGAATATCATCTGGCCAGAATAAATTCAGCCCAATTGAAACAGATGAGAGCATCTAATGAAAGAAGGGTTACAGTTCCAGAACAGCCTTCCAACAGAAGCACAGCAGAAGGAGCTTAAATATGTTTAAGAAAAAAGTTGTTTTATTTCAGAGAATTTGTAAGAACTTCAAGTCACTGAACCTGCAATAGCAGGGGACTAGACTTAAAAGGGCACAGAAGGTGCCTTCCAGTCTTATGTGTATTCATGACATGAGATTTGAAGGATGCAAATACACAGAAAAACAGTAAATTACTTGTGGAAAACGTGTTACTTGAAACTGACGTTTCATTTAAGAATGGTCTATTTACCCATCTGCCTTAGTTCCAGCCACATTGTTAAGATAAGACAGCAAAATAAAATATTTAAATAAGTTGTTTTACAAACAAGACCCTGAATGAAAGTTACACTGAGGCTTTAAGCAAGCCCTGTCAATGCATTTCAAAAAGAGCTAGAGATCATATGTTCTGTCAGATTTTTTAATATGGCAACATTACTTTTTTGCCTTGACTTTTGCACATCGTGGCCCTTTAGCTTGTGTATCACTTAAAGTTACACAGCAATGGTTACTGCAGTGCATTTCCTCAGGAAGTGTTTGTGGTTCACCATGAAATACAAAATTGTTAGAAAACACCCACTGCTTTATGTGATCTTTTGATTAAACAAAGTTACGTTTATTACTTTCCCTCAGTTAAAAAAAATAAATACCGTTTAGCTATTTTATGGCAATTTCCTCAATGAGACATATATACACACAATACTTACATGTATAAATATATATCTGTATGTATATAAAAAGTAAGACAGGAGCATGTCTCGTGAAGAGAAGCTATTATTCTGAAACACAGAATATATGTAAGCCAACAGTTTTAAACTGTCTGAATTTTTTTTAATCACAATGTTTCACTGTATGCATATGAAAGCGTCTTTGTGTCATTTCCCTTCTGTTTGGAGGGAGAATGTAGAAAGAGCTTAGATATGACACGTAGACAGGTTTCACAGGAGAAGCCAAAGGTTCTCTTAACTTTCCTCTTTACAATGCAACCCTACTGCCTGCCAAGAACAGCATGCACAGGTATTGGCTAAAGTAAGTTCCTGCTTGTTTCCCCAGCTCCCAAATGGTGATCATGCGTTTGCTACCACAAACGGGTTCTTCACCAAGGACTGAAAAGATGGGCAGCTGGTAGTGTCACTGCTTGACAACACAGACCCTAGAATTAAAGGAAGAGGTCCTGGTCAGTGGCTCACTCTTGTTCATACCTTATTGAGACGACTTATTTCACACTCATAGTGTTCTTTCTTTCTGATCATGGAAGCGTTCTTCTGCTTCAGGAGCTTGTTCTCTTCTTTCATTTCATGGAGAGCTTCACTAAGGACCTTTGTTTCTTTCTGGGATGCAAAAATACAGAGAGATGCTGCTGAAATGCAGATGGAACCGTTTTTCAAAAACAATCTTCAGAATATCTGCTGTCTGGCAGATGTGCTGCATTTTTATTGTCCCAAACACAGCTGGGAAGGGAGGCAACAGGAAGGCGGATGGTTAGTAAAACCCAGATATGATAAAGTCTATTGAAATTGTTTTGACCACTCACCATATGATGACACAGAGACAACATACCAGACTAAATCCCTGCTCTCTACAGTCTGCAGTTGCACAAAGACATGATAAAGCTGGCAGGCCAAGCAGATCAGTACTGTACAGATGATTATCCCAAACCTGCATTACTCTTATGTACTCACAGTGTAAGGCCAGGGCTAAACGCTGGTGGAATCCCAGCTGTTCCCAGTGTCATACAACATTAAAGACAAAACCAGATCTCAGTATCACATAGTCTGAGGGCTTTTTCCACTACACGAGAGACTGAAGCAGGTCTCAGCCTGCTCAAGAATTTACCAAGCCACCAACCAAGGCTTAAAAATCCACTTTCTTTGACCCCATCACAGTTGGTTTTGACTTGAGCTTGACCCTTCCTAGTGCATGTGCCTACACTGTTGCCACCCCAGCAAACTAACAGGAAGATGTCTCTACTTGCAACAGGATTTACACACTAGTCTTTCAAGATGATATAAGAATTACTAGGACAGATATGCCAAACTAAGTCTGATTCTCTTCTATCGCTTTCAGCATGACTATTTTCAATTTACAGTGAAGGAAGCTAAGATCTGAATCAGACCCTGAAACAAATGGCATTGTGTAAGTTTCTCTTGCTGGGTAATGTTTTCCTCACTAGCCTGCTTTTGCCAGACTTAGACCAAAGCTGTTTAGACATATGAAACAGAATGGCCTGTTCTACAAAAGTATTTCAAATATTCTTCTGCAGCTGCTTTATGTGATTAAAAAGAATGAGGTCCAACAATCACATGCACAGGACACCACACGAATGCTTTTTCTTCTGTGCAGCAGGCATACCTCTGTGCAGCCAGCTACCAGGCATTTACAGTTCGGGCTCATGAGAAGTGCATCACCGTGTGCTAGTTGAGCCAGTGAAAAACACCCTTAAGAAACTGTTGCTTACACATGAGGTAGCTTTATTTTCCTTTGTTCTAAGTTAGTTGGAACATTTCACTTTCTCCAAAAACTGGGCAAGATTAGTAGGGTATCTCTGCATTAAGTATAGGAACTCACCCAGGAGGTAGCTCAAGCTAGCATGTGCATATATGTTTTAAGATATTAAAGAAAAACAAACCACTAAAATCCATATAGGCTTTTAGCTATGCCCTTTTCTTCACCTTTGCCATCCTTTTTTCCTAGCTCCTAGCACATATCCTCCTTCTTGGAGGCTGACACCTCCAGGAACATGGCTGTCTATAACTAAAGATTTCCAGTTTGTTCAGGTTTTTGAACCATCTCAGTTCTTACCTCTTATTGCTTCATATTCGACACTGAATCTTAGGTGTTATGGCACCTAGACTTCCCAGTGACTAGGTTGGTCTTTGATTCTTGTCTGTGGGTACATAGTCATGCCCAGAGAGAACAAAACAAAAAATTTAAATCTCCAAAAGTGTCAGTTTTCCTCTGTGGGCCATGGAGGACATGGGGACAGATAAAGTTCACAACTTTATCATTCTGTGAGAGCCATACCTCCAGGTGCATTTGGAAAAAAAAAAAAAAAAAAAAAAAAGACAGCTCTGTAAAACAGCAGCAGCATATAATCTGTCTCAGGGTTGTTAGGTGCTGCTGGTTTTCCTAAATGGCTCAGCAGAGCACCCAGAGAACTGCCACTATGAGTAAACAAATTTAAAAGGTACTTTCAGGCTGCTGTACTAGATAAGCAAGTAGAGAACAAACATCTTATTACTTTGCTCTGGCAATTGCCCTGTATAGCCCATCCCAGCTCCATGGCTACAGGGGGGGTAAGTAAAACATTTAAAAAAGAAAGGGTTGTTACCTTTGAAGAAAAGAAAAAAAAAATATATACAGACACACACACACACACATATATATATATATATATATAAAAAGAAATGCAGGTGCGAAGAATGTTAGTTGCTGTAGAAAAAAAACCCTGAACATAAAGCTCTAAAAATCTAATCTTGGTAGATCTGTCAGCCTGGGCCTCTTCCGCATCTGCTGAACTTTAAAGCAACACAAGCCTGATCATGTGCTTTCAAGCTGAACTTATCTTTATGCATTTTTCTGAATCATGCCCTGGCACTGCTTTTTCTTCATCCTGCCCTGTGCTCAGCATAGGATAATTTGAGTTGGCACAGCTGCTGACATGGGTGTTACAATCCTTGTTGCTCATTCAAAACTCTGTACTTTTAGCAGCTACCTCTGCAAAGGTTTAGACGTCCTGCATCCCTGCATGATGTCCAAAAAGTAAAGAACTTCAAAGCGAATAGAAGCACTTACTGTCTAAGTATATAATTTGTAAAGAAATTGCTGATCTAAGGCTAAAGTTCCATGCAGGTTAACCTGTCTCCTAAGAGATTTTTGGATTATATTGTCATTTAGTCCATTATTCATGTATGTAGTAAAAAAGTTGGGAGAGTGCTCATCCTTACCTTTCCAAAAAGGTAGCTAGGGCTATTTTTCACAGCTATCATATATTAAAGGGCAGGCAGTAAAAACCATAGTAACATGAACAGAAAGATGGATTGTCTCGCATTAAATCTACACTCGGAGCAAATACAGGCAGTGATTCAGCAAGTAGATAGCAATATAGTTTGCTTCAAAACATGTGAACGGTCCTATTGGTTGGAAATCAAGCACGTGCTTAGCTAAGACCATACCGTAATTGATAGGCAAGTAAGATGAATGTTCTGCTTATGAAGATAAAAGCTAAGGTCTTTGCATTTCTTCTCCTGCAGCAGCTAACTTACATCTTATCTGAGCCTGGAAGTGATGCGATTGCCACTTGTTTTCAGGTTTGTTTCAGGTTATGAAGTGAATAGCGAAGCCCAACTTCAGCCATCAGGGCACCAGCCAGAAACTCTTACAAGAGGTTATGAAGTGTGTGATAACATGAAGCAGAATAAGAATAGGAAGCACCACAGAGCGGTGCTTGTAAAACAGGGCACAAAGTTTTGAGCATACGTTGGGCATATATATGCCAATCACTCAGGTTGGTGGTTTTACTGTTGTAGTAATTCAGCTTAGGGGTCTAACTTTAGATGCGAATGCTACACAAAAGCCAGTGCCAAAGGAGTCCTAAGAGAGGTGCCCAACTACTCTCAGGGTGAGGTGAATGCTGCTGTAGAGCAGCTGATCAGCCCAGGCACTTTCAGCCCTAACAACTGCACCAACACCATTGCTAATATTTACAGGGAGCTGAGATAGCTAACACATGTATAAAAGCCTATATTGTCAATACCAAAATGGGGGTGCCTGGAGCCGAATTCATTCCTTCAGGTATTTCTTGCTAAGTGCTTTGTGCAATGTCAGGAATGATATTCCTACTCCATTTGAAATCACTGGAGCATTTTCATTCACAAAGAAATTCACCCTGAACTGAACAGTGAGGAAGGAAATCTCTGCAGTATTTTTATCAATCTGCTCTTTACTCCCACACACACACTAATGCTGTGCCCTCTGCCAATTTCTATTGAAATGGCTCACTCTCTATACATAGTTCTCTCATTAGACAGAAGATCAGCCACTGCCGTGGATACAACATTGAAAATCACTCAACACAACAATCTCAACTACAGCTGTGTGACAACCCACACCCTGCCACTCACGAGAAGAGAAAGAGGAAAGGCAAGATAGCATTCAACACTGAGCACAGAGTAACGGAGTGCATCCTCCTACCGTTTCCTGCAACGGCCTTTCTCTGCCCAGGGCTCGGAACCTCTCAGCTTCTGGATGCTGTCGATGTCTCTCTTCCTCCAGCTCACTGATTTTCCTCTCCGACACATCCAGTTTTGCTTTCATTTCTGCCAGCTGAAAAGCAAGTGACAGACCATGGTGGCCTGACTGGGGATCCTGAAAGGCACAGCACCTCGAAGGTGCCTTCAAACCCTTTCAGCTCTCAGCAGATCACTGTAAAGGAATGGATCTGGTTGCATGTAAAGTCCCCAGCCACTGACTTTCCCCTCCCCACTTCCAAGCTCTACTGCTCTGTCTGCAGTAGACACTCTTAATGACCCTGGGCAAATTCTCTGTTGGTGTTAACCCAGTTGGGGTCTTGCACTGTTTTGCTGCCAAAGGACAACTAATGTGCTTTTTTTTTTTTTTTTTCCTTTTGCAACTCGGACTCCCTCTGCAGTGGTGCACATCCAAACAATCTAGCCAGAGGCATAAAACGGTCCCATGTTAAGTGAGGAAGAGCCATTTAAATTCCTCTTCTCTTTGGGGGGGGGGGG